TCTCCATCCTGGGGTTGGGGTGGGGCTAGCCTGTGGCTGCTTCTATGCCCCTCAAGGTAGCAGACATGGAGGACACGGGAAGGACCTGCTTAATAAGAAGTTCATGGACACTCTTTTCTCAAGGGAAGTTGTGTTGCTAATCAGCATGTGTGACATGTTGCAGAGGAATCATTTTGAGTTAGAAAATTTGCTGTGAAGCTGCCCTTCTTTTGGAGTTCACTCGAACAGCTCGAGGGCTGTGACCACTACACTTGGGGTAACCCTTTCTGTCTCCGCATGGAAGTATAATTGCATGCTTCAGAGATTCTCATCAGAGTGACTCTCTGATACATGCTGCTTCCCCGCCCAGCTTCTCCTTTACCCACTTACTGTAAGAGATTGCCACCAGCAGCTCTTGTGGTTCAATTTCAGAGACCAGATTATTAAGAAAAAGCTGAAAAGCAGAGGTCAGGGGTGCCTGCCCTGAGAAAATTGCTCACCTTGTTTTTGGTTTGGGCAGAATGACTTTCCATGGTTGTGACCTGTATTGCCAACTTACAAGAAACTATGAGTTACTTTTTAAAGATGACAGTTGTTAAGAGGAGTTTCTCATATCTGTTCCAAGACTCCCTTTTGTTGGGGAGTATGACAACTCTGAAACCATTTCTGTGCCAGCTCCAGTCTGAATACAAAACAAGACATGTTATGCCACTCCATGCACAAGAAACACCATCTTTGAAAAACAAGAGTTCTATCAGTATGCTTCTGTTCAACGTGCAGAAGACAGACAACCTTGCTGAAAGCCAAGTATTTCCAGTAACTCTTTCCAGCATCGGAGTTGTTTGGGGGGACATTTGGAGCATTTTATTGGGAGCAGATTTTGGAACTGATCAAGGAAATTGACTTGGAGCATCTCACCGTCACCCTCAATGATTCCCCTTCAGAGGCACATTCCCAACAAATCACCAAGTTTAGAAAAAAAATCTAAAAAAAGGGGAAAAAATCAGAGAGAGGCCTCTGCTTGTGACAACAAGCCTTCCATTTTGTACTCTAACAAGTTAGACTGACCATCATCAGTTCATTAGTTCCTCTCCAGGTTGATTTTCTAAAGGGACTGAGATGGATTTTTAGCGTCAAAACAGAAGAGGTTATTTTTCTCCAAAGCCAGTTCAATACAGAAGAAATGAACTGTTATAAGGATCTCCTTCCTTTAAACAATTAATAAAAGACATTGCATTGAGCACCTGCAATATATTGTTGGCTTTGCTGAAAATAGGGAGTTTTGCCCCATTTCTATATTTAGGAAAACAATAGGGAGTCTGATAACACCTGCCTTTTCAAAGAGAAGTTAGTGTGGTTCAATTTTGTTCCAGATGGACCCCTTGGGTACCTCTTTGTCTTACCCCATACCTGTTTGATTCTAACAACAACAAAAAAACCAAAAGGCTTTCCTGAAGGTTTCAGAAAGATGGAAGGGATAACTACAGTCCTTGTCTGTCACATAAGAAGCCGACCTTAACTCCAATTTATGTAAATGTTTTCCATCAGACATCTTTATTGTATTTTCCAAATTCAAAGCTCTTCACTCCAAAAAAACCTCTATTGTCCAGTGCAATGGAGCTTTTTATCATGTATTTAATTCATATTCTACAAGACAAAGCTCTGATAGTGATGCTTCATAATGCTGGTGTCATTTCTCAAGCATGGCATTGCAACTGAGACAGTCTCAGTTTGCACAATATTTAGCAGGGACCCAGAGATATCAGAAAATTACATGTTCATGGGGAGTCACTCAAACTTCAGGTATGCTAGGGTCCTGCTGTCTGCTCTTGGAAGCCCACATTCTCTAGACTACTCACTTAGTCCTGATAACTGTCTTAACTCACACGGTGCGATGTGCTTCCTCAATCAGAGGGAAAGCACCCCTTGAAAATATAATCACTTGGCCCTGCACAATACTTCATGTCTATGCTTGTATGTGATAGGGCACATGTCTAACATGTGCAAGGCCCTGAGTTTGATCCCCAGCATACCAGAGCCCCTGGAACACTGCTGGGTATATATCCTATGTAACCCCAAGCACTGCCAGGCCTAAGCTCTTAAATTTCAAGTTTTCATTACCATGCTGAGCAGTGGTGGGAATGGTCTCAGGCCCTCCAAGTACCACTGGATGTGACCCTATAAAAGTTCATTTGTTTGGGGACTATACCCAGACAAGTGCTCAGGACTTACTCCTGGCTCTGAACTCTGGAAAAACTCATGGCAAAACCATATAGAATCCAAATGGGCTATGTGCACAACAAATGCCCTTCCCGTTGTACTATTGTTCCATCCTCAAAGAACAATTTAAAAAAAATATAACCACTTACTCCTTTGTACCCTCTTCGGTGTCTTATTTACACTACAAAAATACATTTATCGGTGTACCCAAATAATAGAACACACGACTGTGTAATGGTGCAACTGAAAGAAAATGGACATTCAGAAGGATGGACATTTGGGAGGACATGTTATATAGAAACCCCAGCAGAAAATGGGAAGATAATCCCATTGTCCAGATGAACCCTCATCAGTAGTAAAGCTGAATTGTTCCTGAATAGCCAAGTACTAACTTTGTTACTCATGGGTCAATTCTGCCTGTTTTCTTCTGGCAGAATAAATTATGATACTGACAATAAGAAACTAACATTAACAAGGAGTTAGCAATGTGCTTAGCTCTACTGTGTTTTATGTGTATTGACCCACCATGTTCTCTGCACAATCCCAGTAATATACGTTGCACATTGCCCAAAGACACACATCTGGGGAATGATGAGGTTGAACTCAGACCCAAGTTCTCATAAATCTGCCATTTTCACTCACCATGATCCAACAATGGAAAGAAAATTCTGCTCCTAGAAGGTTCCATGATACTTAGAATAAAGGAATTGCTGAACACAGAGCCTTAAGACACAAGGCAGAGTTTAGATGCCAAAAATGCATGAGGGATGCACTGCAGGAACTTTGTAAGTAGACCAACAAAAAAACCTTCTCAGCTAGGAACAGAGGCATCCATGGAGTTTCAGTAATTACAGGGAAATAACACAAGGGCCACACTCTTCAAAAGATCAAAAATAAAAACAACAGAAATTTTCAGGACATAAATCTGCCTTTGACAGGCAAGGCAGAGAAGAAGAAAGGGCACATCCATTTTCAGGGCTGCACAGGTGCGTCTGACTCCAAGTCAATAATTGCTCAAGGATAAGGGTGATGATGAATGATGGGGAGGTGACCTTTATGTTAGACAAACTGGGTGGTTCCAGGCACAATAAAGGATGATCCTAGTGTCATCCAGAAATGGGATTGGTCTCTTTCTCTGGGGAGGAAGGGGGGCAAACTAACTGGTATGTATACCCCTCTCTCCGCCCTAACAGGTATCAATAGACCTGGGAGGGGTGGATGATCTCAAGGTCAGATGTGAAAGCAAAAGGAAAAGTGATTGAGACCTCTGGCTTCTGTATTCTAGAAAGGAACAGATACAATTCCCCAGGTTTTGTTTTCTGACTTTGTTGTAGACTTAATGAAAGAAAAAAAAAAGCATAATGTAAGACTTCCTAAGAACTGAAATCACTACTGGAGGCACCTCTGTCTTCCCCCAGCTAGGTGTAAGAGGATATTCTTTAACCACATAAAGGAACTGGCATGAAACTAAGTCTTTGCACCTTGGTCAGTCAGGTTTGTGCCCTTAATGTCATACTCAAGCTACAAATAACAAGCAACAAGTGAAAACCAAAGTACATGTCTTGAAAATTCTGAGTAGGTTGGGGTCCTGGGGAAGGGAAATCTATTTGTATCTTTTTAATAATGTTTCTCAAAATCTCTTCATGTGACACCTATAGTTGCCACCCAAGCAGCTCCTGGTGCCTTTTCCTTTGGTCTTAGTCAATTTATAACATTGAGCCTGTGAAAATCTTATCCCTTCCCTTTTTATTTAACTTTCTCTCTCCAATAATTGTCCAGCCTAGAACCTCCAAAACAATACCTAGCATTTGTCTCAATCCTCATCATACACGTTTTATTGATATCACTAAGTAAGACTCTGAAGCTAAGTCTTAATCATGTTCTTCTTTTGAGGTACAGAGAGGGTAGCAGGGCTTCTGTGATTAGATTTTTTAAAAATTCTCTTTTCAAACTAGATTATAGGGCAAACTAGTCAGCAACCCCATCCTCACTACAAATTTTTCTATTTTTCTATTTTTCTATTTTTCTAAATGCTTTTGTTATAGACCTGACTGAAATACTTAAGGTAACCTTAAGGTAACTTGACTTTGGAACAAAGTTGATCCTGTCTGCTATATACTCGTGCAATAATTTCCCAACTCTAGGGACAGATATGTCCAATTCATATGAAGTACTTGTTAAAAATTATAAATTACTGGGCTTCTAACAAGACTTCTAAGTCATAATATGAGATACAGGCAGAAAAATCTTTGTTTTTAACAGAATGATTCTGACAGGGGACCATGTTTACAAACTTAGCATTACCTAATTAACAAGTCTGGATTGGTTCCACTTGTACATAAGTCTTGTGTCAACAAAATAGATTAAGAGATCACAAACCTGACTTCTGGGCAATGGGCCATGGACAGAAGCTATGGAAAATGTGAGGAGGACAGAGAAACAGTGCAGGGGGAGATGCTTACCCTATATGGGGCTGACCTAGGTTAGATTTCCAGCACTACATAAGTTCCTAATCAGGAGTGAGGAGCTTACGTGTTTCTGGGTGTAGCCAGAAATCACACACACACACACACACACACACACACACACACACACACACACACACACACCAAGGGGAGGCAGAAAGTATAGGCATCAGCACCTATTTCACAGTCAGTCTGTAACTAAACAGCTTCTTATAAAATGTTAATGGCAATCAAACAGATTAGCGCTAAACAAACTTACATTGTGTTTATGGTCATGACTCAAAAGGTGCTCTTAGTTTCAACTAAATGTCTGTTTTTATGTTCTGTCATTTCCAGGCATGAAAGTAACTTGAACAAATCCCAAGGCATAAGGAAACAGGCCTCGTTCTTTAGGACTGCTGCATCCGCATTGGAAATGAAGCTAAGCTGACTTTATTATACCCCACGATTCTGCAACCTTTTGTGAAGCATTTTATTATACGTGTGGAAGCTATCAGGGTTATGGTTCAATCACGATGACTGACAGGCTAACTTCAAAGCACCAGCACCTGCTGCCCTTGCACATCCCTTGCCTGTGTACTTAGAATAAACCCTTTTCTAAACTGTTCCTTGCCTGGATGGAAATAAAGCAGTAGTTAAAATATTTTGTGTGTTGGCTAACTTTAAAATGGATAATTTGGGGCAATTGGAAAAAAAGCACAAATAAGAAAATTGATTTTAGAACTACTATATATTCCTGTAAACCAACGGTTTTTTAAAGCAGAGAGAGAGAGATTTAGAGTTTCCACTTTTGTAAGATAATAGAAGAGGAAGGGTGCAACGTTCGCTTACTGGTAGTCTCAGACTGGTTTGGGTACAAAGGCAGGGTGAAAGCACTTACGATAAAAAAAATTATTTTTAGGAAAATAATAGACATGAAAAGATATGATCAGACACCTTACACGAAACTGTTTTAATCGAGGGCATATAAGGAAAGGGGATGGAAAGACTCTGGAGCCTGGCTTCAGAAGCAAACTCCTTGCTCTACATAGTTTATTTAAGGAAAATAAACTCCTCCTTTCCACTGGTCTATTAATAACAGGAGTTAGAATTTATGAAGAAAAATAAAACTCATCAACAGTATTGCTGTAAAGATGCAGGATTATTTAAAAAATCAGGATATTTCTTTTTCATAAAAACAATCTCTTTTGACTTACGGACTATTCCCTGACCTCAACTCCATTACCAGCATAAAGCATGCTAGCATTTTGTGACCGTTGTAACAAATTGCCAGCACAAAACAACAGAAATGTATTATCTCACAGCCTGGAGTGGAGAATTTCAAAATTCAGTAAGACTTTGCTCCCTGGCAGAGGCTATGGAAGAATCTCTCCTAACTACTAGCAACTGCTGGCCATAAATGGTGTCCTTAGCTTCACTGTAGTGTCTGCCTTTAACTGTACCCTCTTCTTTTCTCTCTGCTTATCCCTAATAAGCACACTCTTATTAGATCTAGGATGCCCACTGATAATTAATAATGATGGAAAGAAGACTAATATCCTTTACTTAATTATATCCACACAGACCCTTTTCAAAATAAGATAGCATTTACAGGTTATACGGTTTGCTATGGACATATTTTGGGGGAGAACACCATGTATATATTTGCTGAAGATGTAATAGTTGACAGTGATTATCACTACTGTAAAACTGGGGCCCTCTTGTTGTCAAGTTGAGTTTGGGAGTCTTTTTCTTAGTTAAACTTAAAATGCACTCTAATCTGAACAGGATGTTTTTAGAAGATGAATATAATGGAGGATAAATGGCAAACACCTCCAAAAGTTTTGTGATACCCAAAATATTAACCTTATCCCCAGCAGATATAAAGACTCCATCTCTTTTTTAAAAAAAAATTGTTTTGGGGCCACACCCAGTGATGCTCAGGGGCTATTCCCGGCTCTGGACTCATGAATCACTCCTGGTAATGCTCAGGGGACCATCTGGGGCGTTAGAGATGCCCACATCAACCACATGGAAGGTAAGTGCCCTACCCATGCTATTATCTTTCTGGTCTCTCCATCGCAATTATAATAGCAAATGTTACCAGAATGCTTGACCTCTGCATCCTGGACTTATTCTTCATTTCATTCATTGACTTTCAATCATACAAATGAATAAAAAGTCACTACTAAAGTTAGTTGAGACAGACTGCAAGCCTATCTTCAGTGTTTTTACCCTATTTTTTCTATGCAATTCAGAAGTCACATTTCTCTCTGTTTGCCCTTGTATAGCACAATTTTATTCTCTTTCTCTAACTCTGCCATAATTAAGCTGTTGGTACAGATGGCCAGTCCCCAAACCCTATTTCCATGCAAGCTTCATGACCTCAGGCTTAGCTGGAAGATACCATATCCCAACAAGGACTATTTACAATGCTTTTTAACAGATGTTTTATGAACTGACCAAATCTACTGATACCGATGTGGGAGAAAACCAACAACTACTTCCATTTGCTAAAGTGGGCTTGGTCTGCATGGAGAAATGCAAAAGACAATGAAAAACAATGTTTAATAAAAAAAAACTCTCCTTGGCAGAAGGCTTTTTCTGATTTCTTCTTCTGCACAAATGCTCACTAGGCAGATGCTGTTCTTTCAAGGGTTAGAGAGTTACTAATTTTATGGTCAACTATAGATAACTGGATATGTGTGTGGGGGCCCATTTCACTGTGTTTGTCACATAATCACAGCACACCACCACTTTTTGTATTGACAATATTCTGAAGGAAGCTGTGCCTTCTGTTTATGTTAACATATTCACTTTTCATACTGTAGACCGATTCCTTATTTTATTGTTACACCTGCAATCAAAATTTAAATGATCAACAAGAATATGACTCCATTTTTTGGGAGAGACACTTTAAAGGATTGGTGCCTGTGATATCTTTACCACAACTAACCCAATCATTAAAAAAATACTCTCAAACCCCAACAGTTATTACCAACAATGTGATGGAGCGCCAAGCTTCATACTATGGTCTGAACGTATATGTACTTTTCTCAATGGGTTGTATTTGTTGATTGGAACTTGCCCATCGTGTTGGTGAAAGAAAGAAATGAAATTCAGTATGTATACATGCATACAAGTGTTATTTTATTTAATGTATACAAGTCCCTATATAATATATATGAAATTTAGACTACAGTTATTTAAGGTCACAAAGTTGAAATACAATTTGAATTCAAGACCCATGTTCTTTGGCAAAGGGTTTTAAGCATATTTAATAATTACTATTTTCAATCTTTGTCAATTGCCTACGAAGCTGGCAGGTTAGTTCTTACACTGATGTTCAAAGCGGAAATGGTTGGAGGTAGTTAAGGGGATGTCCAAACATTCTTAAAAGAAGAGAATCCCTTTAACCATGTAAATGAAGGAGAGTAATTACATTTTCATGACTTAATAATCTATGGGAAATTTGTTACTAAAAATGCTTTCTATGACTTTGAGGCAAATGTGCTGGCAAAAAGGTTAATGATTACCCAGTCTGGAAATTTAACAATGTAAGAAAATGACATATAATTTCTTAGTTATAGGGATTGATAATGAGTCAGTCCTAGTTGGAACAACCATCATCATGAACCCTCTCAAGCACAGTCACATGCATACCATTCATTTCTATCCTGAAAATATGTTGACCACTTACTGTGCATTAAAGTCTAAAGCTATGGGGAGAAAGCAGTCAAAAGTGAGGTGTCAGGGCTGGAGTGATAGCACAGCGGGTAGGGCGTTTGCCTTGCACGCAGCCAACATGGCCAACACAGGTTCGATTCCCAGCATCCCATATGGTCCCCCGAGCACCACCAGGAGTGATTCCTGAGTGCATGAGCCAGGAGTAACCCCTGAGCATCGCTGGGTGTGACCCAAAAACCAAAACAAAAAAAACAAAACAAAAAGCAACAAAAGTGAGGTGTCCCTGAAGGTAGTCTTCACTGCAAAGTGAAGACATCACGGATTTTAGAGGGTGGGAAGGGAGGTGGAAGAACAGGGCCAGTTTATCTATAATGTAGAACCAATTTTAGGCTACAGGAATTTTTCAATGCTACTTCCATTCTTTTTCATCACCATCCTCATTTTCCGTCTCATGATAGATACAACTATCTATGCACTAAGCAACAACTATCTAGGCCCTAAGAATAGTGGCATTTTTTATTGTTACTTATATAAACCTCATAAAAATAAAATTCATCCTTTCACTTTTTTGTATTTAACAAATATTTAGTCAATGCACACCTATCACCTGCCAAGTGCTGTTTACACCAGGAGTATTCTGCTGCTGTGCTAAGCAAAACCAGCTGAAAGTAACTATCACTCCTCTACAGATAAGGAACTTCAAGTTTAAAGAGTGTGAGACTTGTTTAGGACCACACGATAATAAGAACACTGTGTATGAATTGAGACCCGCAGTTCTTCCTCCGAAGTCAGCTCTTTTTCAGAAGGCAGGAGTGTATAGAAGTTTTCCCTACAGACTGGACACAATATACACATCCACTTACTGATTTCCTCAAGAGCAAAATTAGTTGGAGAAATTAATTCTAGGCCACTGGAATCTTTGTGATTCAAGTAGAAAGTGAAAAAGTGTGACAAAGATCCCATCATATCAGCTCCAATGGTGTACACCTCCTTATCTCATACCATCCCTAAGCAATATTGCAAAATCTATGCTGATAATTGAAATGAGCCATGCTACTATTCCAAGACTACATTTTAGTAAGCTTCCTATAATTTGCTCATTTACCTATTTGTTGGATTTTCTTTCCTGCTCATCTCTTCCTCTCTTTCTTTTCTATCATCTTTTTCTTTTCTCTGCCAGAAAGTAGGTCCACAGAATCAAAATCTTGATTTTCTCTAAAGCAGTTCTCTGTCAGCATCAAGAGACCTTGTTAAAATAGATGAATAGACCATAATCTCCCATCCTTCCCCAATTCTGATTCAGTTGTTTAAAATTGGTACTGGTACTGGTACTGATAAGTTCCTAGGTGATGGCAATACTGGTGGAATCAAGGAGAGTGGGAAAGGGGGGGAGGGGCTAACCTTGAAAAAACTAATCTAATGGAATAATCTTTTTTTTTTCGCCCTGCAAATTAAACAGAATCTGTTCTCAAAGCAGAATGTGGCTTGTTTTTCCTGTTCCTGAATTTAACATACCTTAGTCTAAAGGTAATGAACTGCAAGCTAAATCCAATTGGGTTACTCAAGCATCTCCAGTAGGTTTTTAGAATTATTTAACACTGCCGAAGACTTCTTGTCTGGGCTAATTAAGTGATTAGTTTAGATCGATAGTAGACGAACAAAGGGAAAGTGGGATAGCTACAGCTCACTACCAACTTAACAAAATGGTGTTAATGTCAGCCAAGAGCACACATGGATTTCAAACTAACTGGTCTTAGCTGCCAAAGTCTTCAGTGTTTCTGGCTTGAGGAGGAAAGGGGGCCCCTTAGCTAATGTATACAAAAGGATTAGGGGGAGGGAAGGTCACGTGAACCTGCAGTGCTCAGGGGGTGCTCCTGGCTTTGCACTCAGGGATCAGTCCTTGAGGTGCTCAGGGGATGCCAGGGATCAAACCCGAGTTGGCAGTGTGGAAGGCAAGTGCCCTCCCTG